CCCCCCCCAACCTGACCACTGAAGTAAAGTCTGTGGAGATGCACCACGAGTCTCTGCCTGAGGCTGTGCCTGGTGACAACGTGGGCTTCAATGTCAAGAACGTCTCCGTGAAGGAAATCCGTCGTGGATACGTCGCCGGTGACAGCAAGAACGACCCACCCAAGGCTGCCGACAGCTTCAACGCTCAGGTTGGTGTGCACTTCCTGACAAACGTCCGTTTGGAGATGCAGACTTCAGGGTAGACGTCTTAACTTCTCGTCTTCGTAGGTCATCATCCTGAACCACCCAGGCCAGATCAACGAGGGTTACGCCCCCGTCCTGGACTGCCACACCGCTCACATCGCTTGCAAGTTCAAGGAGCTGATTGAGAAGATCGACCGTCGTTCTGGCAAGAAGCTTGAGGACAACCCCAAGTTTGTCAAGTCTGGAGACGCTGCCATCGTCAAACTGATCCCACAGAAGCCCATGGTTGTGGAGCCCTTCTCAAACTACCCTCCCCTCGGTAGGTTTCTGCTCAGAAGTCCATTTTCAGTGTAGAAGGTCAGTTCTCTGACTCGAGCTCACCTGTCCTCTCAGGTCGTTTTGCCGTGCGTGACATGAGGCAGACCGTGGCCGTCGGCGTCATCAAAGCTGTGGACACCAAGGACGTCGCCGGAAAGACAACCAAGGCTGCAGAGAAGGCCCAGAAGAAGAAATGAATGGTCGTGCAGGACGTCCAGCGAGGTGTCGTGTGCCGGCAGCTGCGGGCCGCGTCCTCCCCCATCTCTCACCATCATGGGTCATCTTCTCTGAGGCACAGCTCTCTACTCAAGGACTGGCTTATGCTGATTAAAACCCATCGAAAGAGTTTTCGCAGGAAAAAACTTTGTGGCATTGTCGCCTAATTTCACAGGATGGTGCCTCAGTTTAAGTTGGAAATGGTTTAGAACTGTATCTCTTCTCTTTAAACGCCACAAATTAATTGGAAAAGAAGCAGCTGGTAACTAATGAAAAATAAATCTCTGAAAAAATTGCAATTGGCTTGTCTGTATCCTTCAGTGTGTGTCAGACCAGCTGTTCTGACCCGTGACGCGCTCGTCCTCCAATCGTCTCCCCAGGAGACGCGAGCCGCAGCCAATGGCCCCCCGACTTCACTTTGAGACGAAGCGAGTCTGCGCAGCCCTCCCCCTCTGCTGCCGTATAAAAGCTCTGTGCGCACCACATTCTGTCCTTTTGCCTCTTTAAGCGAGGATTTCGTGTTAGTTGCTGGGCACAGGTTGGTCAATGTCTCCTGATTTAGAAAAGCATGTTTGAAGTCTTGATTAGTCTGCAGATGTTTAGGGTGACTGTTCAGTTAATGAATTAAAAATGTGTTGCATGGCTTTTAGATGTCAATGTTGACTCCGTCTGAGCTGCACGTGTTTAAATCTAAGATCTTTTCACTGATAAACCCGTGATTTATTGCATGGAAGGGTTGAAACCCATAAATAAGATTTGTCGTCTTTACCTTTTATGAACGCGGAGCGCGCTCCCGTCAGATACAACATGGCGGCTGCGGAGCAACATGGAGGACTGACCGGCTGTGCTGCGTGACTGGTGTTGTGTCGAAAAATGTTCACCGGTCAAAGTCCCCCCCCCTCCCCAGACGTCCTTAATCCTGGAAATGTTTTCATAACATTTCAATGATTTAAATGCAATTCTAAACGATATTAAATTCGGTTTGGTTGTCTTTTGATTATTACAAAGTTTATTTGACTATTAAATGGCGTCGGGAACAAGCGCCTTTTTTTAGACGGGGCTGATGGATGATGCTTCACGTGACTTAAATCAGCTCGTCGCTTAGGTCCGCGGAGGCATGGCTTCCGTCGGGCGTTCTTCGGTTTTTAACAGAAAAATTATTTTTAAAGGTTTCCGTGATTCTGTTTCTAGCCGTTGAATCGAAATGGGAAAGGAAAAGATCCACATCAACATCGTGGTCATCGGCCACGTCGACTCCGGCAAGTCCACGACCACCGGCCACCTGATCTACAAGTGCGGAGGGATCGACAAGAGAACCATCGAGAAGTTCGAGAAGGAGGCGGCCGAGGTAGGTCCACGACGCGCGCGGGCTCTGCCGCCCCCCAGCGGCCGCCTGCTGTCACTGCACCGCAACAAAATAACCAGGAAAGTTCTCACATTAAAGCCCCTTTACAGTTTAATACTACTTTTTAATTTCGTTCAAAATGGCTGCCACACCTGAGTGACCCTAAAACACAAAACGTTTATAAATCTGAATTTAAATTTGGTATTTGTAGCTGAGATTTCTCAAGGACACATGACCCAAGCTGTGCTTTTCATTATTAAGGAAATCATCTGCAACAGATGGAGTTTTGGAGCTGAACATAATCAAAATAAGTGATGGTAGAAAGAACAAAGACTATAACTCAATGAGTCACAAACTGAACAAATTAAAGGTTGTTTTTGACGTTTGATAAGATGATTAGGTTTAGACTCCTGTGAAATGCTGGACTTTTGTTTGATCGCATAAATGTTCAGAAATTTGGCACAAACACTAAAATATTTCAACACCTTTAAATTGTAATAATATCTTGATTAGCTGTTTCGTATCAGTTGGTGATTATATTCCTCTTGATTTGGCACATTAATATAATTTAAGTGACATTTAGGTTCAAGTTGGGTTTGTCATATGCAGGTACAATGAAATGCTCAGGATGACAAGAGCAGATCTGACTCACTAAAAACAAAGAACAAACAAACGGTAAAATACTAAATCATGCAATAAGGGTACAAAATAAAATACCAAAAAGTGAAAAAGTAATTATAATATTTACAAGGTCCTAAAGAGAGAGAGTAAACAACAACATAGTAGAATATAACGGTGCAAGTAGGACACGTTTGTATGAATAAGTATTTTGATATAGTAATATAAGCTAAAATGCACATTATATATATTGCTCATAAACTACACAGGTTGTGTGACAGGTTATTGCACAGGTGGTGACACTGAGATTGAATTATGATGGTACATACATAGATACCGTATCATACATGATACAGCCACATGGTGCAGCAGCAATAAATAATAAACATATTAGTCGTCACAGATGTGGCTCGGTGCAAAGTTATTGTCAGTTGTTCAGTGTTTTTATTGAGAGTTCAGTAATCTGACAGCAAGTGGATAATAACTGTCCTTCAGTCTTTTCGTTAAAATAAAATAAAGCATAAATGATCAAACAAATTCCATTCATTTAGAGTTAAAGCATTAATAATTGATAATAAAAGTAAGCATAAGTATAATTTATTTAGTCAAATATATATATATATAAACAGTTATTAGTCTAAATACAGATTTGTAAATCCACGTTAGATAATAAATGGATTAATTTGTGAGGTTTTTATTACAATATGCAGAATAAAGTTAATTAGTGCAGATATAAACATCAAATATTAAAATCAGATTATGATCAGATTACTCAGTGGGGTCATTAAGGAACTTTGCTGTCTTCACAGATGGGCAAAGGCTCCTTCAAGTACGCC